CGGGGATTTTCCTAGGGTAAAGCTGCCAGGACGTGAATCTGACCACTCACATCCATCTAGTGTCTATGTCAAGAATGGTGGAGCTAAATCTCCATCCCGCCAGTATGTTTTTATAGCGTGATGCTTAAATTAATTAAACAAATGGACAACTTAAAACTATGATAACATTTGTCTGCGAGAAAGTGCAGTATCTTTCAAGTGGATACTCTTCTTTAGGTTGTGCTTCGGAAGGTGTCGCAGTTGTGTTAGGAAATTTCTAAATGGATCATTTTCCGTCAGCATGATGTTGAATTCGATTTTCCCCTATTTTATTTTAGTAACCACTCTTTTTCTCCTCCACGCGCTCATATCTCGTGGATCCTTTCCGATGCAACCGCGGTACATATCTCTCTGTTCGTCTGAAACATCTCGTCTTCGACACCACCTTGCCTATGTATTTTCTTTCCCAACCTTCCTTCTGAACAATTTTATAGTTTTTACTCCAATTTCTTCTTAAATGCCCTGCATAGCATGGTGTTAATATACGAAACTGATTTTCGGAATCAGAGCCAAATGTATTTTGTAAATTTATTTTGCTGTCTGTTATTTCAGACGTGTTCTATATAGCATATATTCGGAATACCTGAGTTTTTGGGCTCCGTATATTACACATTCATTCAACATGTAGGATGAATCGAGCCTCTAGAATTGTGATCTTGATGAAATCCACTAGCAGTTGAGCAAGGAAATTGTGGTATTTATAGAAGATTATTTCTAATTAAACTAACAGTTTAATAGAAAACCCGGAAGTTTTAACACCACTGACATCAAAGTCCACCATTGGACCAAATGTTGAGCCCGCTACATCCACCTCCTGACAATCCGTCTTCATAAGAACCATCTGAAATTTATCCTCCCACCTTTTTTTTCGGTCTTCTATGTGGATTTTATCAAGATGTTACGCCACCAAAATTGTATGTACATTACTTGTCTCCCCCTTTCCTACCTACATCCCAGTCAGTCGTGATATGCTGGATTTAAGTAACCTAATAGTGAGGGCCACGCCATAGCTCAAGCGGTTAGTCGCTGGCTTCCCACTGCGGCGGCCCGGGTTCGTTCCCGGATCTGGTCAAGTGGGACTTGTGATGGACAAAGTGGCGCTGGGGCAGGTTTTCTCCGAGTACTTCGGTTTCTCCTGCCAATCTTTATTCCACCAATTGCTCCACAATCACCCTCACCTATCATCTGGGGCTGGTACAATAGGCCCGAAGTGGTCGCAGTACAAGGGACTTAGTCTCACCCCCCTAGCAATAAAAGAAAAACCTAAAAGTAGGTGTACTGAGCGGTTTGCTATAACTCAAAGATTTCTTTGTTATATAGTATCATGTATTCCATTACTCCAACTTTGTTAGGTCCTATCAACATTTTATCTTCCAATATTTACAATTTTATGTTCTAGCCACAAAATAAAAACTTCCATAAAATCATTGGCCAGTTGGTTATTTTGTGATTCTGATGCAGAAGTGTTTAGGGAAGTAGACGGGAAATATAAGTTTTTTTGATCTAATGACAAACAGTTTTGGGATGCCTATTCTCCTGAATTTACCTTAAACTTGTTCTCAGGTATTTACAGTTTTTACACTTTTTTTAATGTCTTGTTACCTGTAGTTAAGATATCTATTATAATGAACAAAGCTTAGCGGACTCTTTTATGTATGAAGGACTCATATTACAGACATCTGTCGATACCAGCGACTTCCGTGCACAATAAATTATGTTAATATTTTATGATCTTCGTATCGTAAACAGGAGTAAAACATCTCGAGGTAATCGATGAATATTGTTTTATGTTTTGAAGCCACTGAGTTCGGTGAGGTCTACAAGTTTGTGACGATGCTATATTAATATGATTATTTTGTTTTTGGACATTACATTATCCTGCTTTTACTTGAAACACGCCGTTTCGGATACTGGATTTTGTCTCGGTCCTCAGTTGGAACCTACTCAGCTGGGTTCATTCGATAGAACTAGCCCCTATCTTCGGAGACAATGGATAATGTCCAGAAACAACAATCATTACACAAAGTTCAGTTTTATTAATCTAGTCTACACGATACATCAAAATATATTTCCGACGATTAACGGGCTCTGTTTAAAATCCAATTCGAAATGTCAGACCTGATTTGTTTTTAATGTAACAGTCCATCAGAGTACTTTCACTCCATGTCATCATATCGTGTCATGTAGGACTCATCTCTATGTTACTGCAAGAGATTATTCTTAATCCCTTACATTACTCCGTATATGAACTGGAATTAAGTTTTGGAGATATATCCCATAATTTTCTATTAAAATACATATACACACTATGGTTGGAAATGTGTTTTAAGTAAGAAATTCATCGTTCATGTAGACCATAGATTTAACATTAGTGTCTTCACAAAGGAGTTCAAATTCCTTAAATTCTTGTCCCGAGTAATACAAGATAGAACTTGTAAGATTTGAGGTTTTCGCGTTGGTGACTATGAAGAAAACCTGCTCATGCTCGTTCCTCGCTTGCCGATTCTCTTCTTTTTTCTTCTACCCTGAAGATGGAGGCGATATGTTCCTTCGAAACGTGTGTTAACACAATATCTACACGGCGCCACATCCCAGAAGACCTCTTTCTTCAGGATATAATTCATTTAGTAAATCATTCGTGTTTAAGGGAGCAAGTATACTATATTATTAATGATATTTTATCATTTATTTGTGTATTTTACTAAACTGTTATCTTCTTATAGCTGATTTATAACTGCTTTTGTAAATTTATATCTGTCTAATTATGAGACCACTCCAAAAGTTTTCAGGTCCATTTTGGCGGATTGCTGTATATTTAGTGAAATATGAGGGGAACATCTGCGTTGAATTATAATTTATATCATGTCTTTCCACTTTCACGTGCCCCGCTGACCGTAAATCACAATGGAATAGTGGATTAATTGCCCAGACTTAACCATCTACACATCTTTACTTAGGGTTAATTAAATTTGGACCTCATATTCACGCTCAGTCATACCTCTTGCCGCAAAACTTAAACCAGCGTGACCTTAACTATCAATTAAAGCGATAGAACTAATTACATTTAAAGGCGATGATGAATTTTGATATACATATGAGCGTAGATGGATGACATTATTGAATAAAGATCAATTTCTGCACTTCTATCAGATGAAACTTATAATAAAGCATTTATTCTGTAATTTATTCCTACAGTATCAAGCAGATCTGAGTCGAAGCTGAATAACGGATACATTTCATTCACTCAAATTAATATGAAGTAATATAAAACATATTCAGTATCTGGTTTGTTCTTTCTTGCATCTCTTTATCATGGTGCTCGGTTCAAGCCTTGGCTTCAACTACGGTTTTCCGCAATTTCCTTCTCATGCCCTATGAATAGGTTCATAAATATTTTTTATTTTTATGTAAATTAGAGTGGATCAACAAATATAGTAGTTTCGTATGTGATTTTGGACAGACATCTGCTATTATTTATGTTATTATAAGTTCATGCCTACATATATATATATATATATATAAATTTCGTAAAGATGATTGAAAACTATGAAATTAGCCAGTTTCGCGTTATCGTAACAACGGATTGTCAAGCGTTAACACATTTCATGAAAGCAAGTTGTGTAGGTCAAGAACGAGCGACCAGTCTTTTCATCCATTGTGTGATGTCTGTTCTCCGAGTACTGATATTATTTTGAATGGGACATGTGGAATGCAATTACTGTTTATCATGGAATGTGACTTAGTATTAGGAGATTTATGATGTTTGTTTTCTTTTCAAAACTTGCACGCCGAAGATTTCCATATAGATCAGTTCATTGAAATCGTGTCGAGACTACTAACCTGAAGCCAGCAGGATATCCGAGATGGGTACTCGACAGGTCTGCAGACATTTTTTTTTCCTTTGGTGCTACAGCCCCAAATTGGGCCTTTGCCTACCTATACGAAACTCTCCATTTACCTTCGGTTTACTAGATCTGAGACATTCGGTAGGACCTCTTGGGCAGGTGACCAGCTCGTCGCAAGTCCTGTACCTGTACACAAACACAGAAAAACGCGCACACACAAACACACGCACACAATCATTAAACATCCATGCCGTAAGTGGTATTCGAACCCACGATCACCGCATCCGAGCGAGCGAAGACCGCTCGGCTAACTTGACCGGCGGTATGCAGATAATATGACGGGAATATTCTTATACAACTACACGAATCACATCTGCATGAGCGGCTGCATGGAACATATTTGAGTAAACTCTATTCTTCTATGCCTCCTGTTTATTGTAAGCATATTCAGCAACAAAATAATACGATATGTTGTGGTGTAATTGTATGCTTGATGCCGTTAGTCGCCTCGATAGTAGATCACATTAGGAAATTAAGCGGAATATATCAGATTTGTTTTATTGCTGGTGGGGTGGGACTAAGTCCCTTGTACTGCGGCTACTTCTGGCCTATTGTACCAGCCCCAGATGATAGGTGAGGGTGATTGTGGAGAAATTGGTGGAATGAAGAGTGGCTAGGAAAACCGCAGTACTCGGAGAAAACCTTCCCCAGCGCCACTTCGTCCACCACAAATCCCACTTGACCAGACCCGGGATTGAACCCGGGCCGCCGCGGTGGGAAGCCAACGACTAACCGCTTGAGCTATGGCGCGACCTATATGAGATATTATTTGAAACTCCAGTGGGAAACCTTTCTTCCCAGAAGGAAAATGTGGGATGGGGTCCAAACTTTAATAATTTGAACAGTTCAATCATCTCGGATATAAGACCATGTAGTCCGTTGAAAGTCAGACGAAGTAACAATCATGCTACCTGCCCTAACGACAACATAAAAATAATTATTCCAAAGATATTTTCAGTTAGATGAGTTCTGTCAGAGACAGGAAACACTCTGTACTTCCATTCAGTGCAGATAGCAATACTGTGGGAACTAATTTCTCGCTCTTGTGAATTCTAGAATCATCACGCCACTGAAGACCTCTACAGCCTAGCTATTAACCGTGGCTTCAACGATGTATGCTTGGTGGCTGGGAGAACGTATGAGGTAGGGAAATACTAACACCTTTCTTTGTACTGTTTGAATTTGTGTGTGGTCATAGATATTCGAATTTTATGTAGGTTTTAGCAGGTAATATTCTTTATAAAATGTAAAATAATATGAAGACGGCGCGAAAAATTTGTTGAATAATTCTAAATGGCTTCACACTTTTTTTGTCGTTTCATAAACACATTCATCCGGAACCAAATTGCGCCATGTCCACAGCAAACATTTTGAATATATGTCATTAACAAATATAACAGCATTTTGAAATTTATCATAAGCTTCGTGAAGCTGAAGTGTGTTTTTATGGACATTTTTTAATAGTGGACCACTAAATACGAGGAGCGTTCCTTATATGATGCCTCAATTTTTTTTAAAGAAAACTACAACAGATACAGAAAGCATAATAATTCAGTTAAATAGAGCAGGATTTCAGCTACTTACAGTTATTTTTCCACATAATCACCACCATTCATTATGCACTTTTGCCAGCGATTAACAAGAGCCTGTATGCCGCGCCCGTAAAAGTCTGCACCAGCAGAGGCTAGCCACTTTCTTACAGCTGCAATGACAGCATCATTATCTGGAAAATGTTGCCCACGTAGTCCGTCTTTCATAGGCCCAAAGAGATGGAAGTCTGAAGGTGCTAAACCGGGGCTATAAGGTGGATGTTGTAGGACAGTCCAGCCAAATTTTGCAATGTGCGCCTTGTTCGCCAAACTGGTATGGGGTCTAGCGTTATCGTGTTGCAAGCGAAAGGTTGTCTGCTTCTTTGGCCTGACTCGGGAAATGCGGGCTTTCAGCTTAGTCAGCGTCGTTTTGTAGCGTTCAGAATTGACAGTCCCTGGTCGTTATCTGCTGATCTGTATGGATGAGGCGCTGTTCATTGTGAGGAGTGGCAGCTGAGCA